TATCTATCTATCTATCTATCTATCTATCTATCTATCTATCTATCTATCTATCTATCTCCTCATACTCTGTGTGTGTGTGTGTGTGTGTGTGTGTGTGTGTTTCATAAGTGGAAAACAGAAAACATACAAACTACCTCTATCTCGGAACAATACTAACCCCTTTCTGACTTGGGTTTTAAGATGATGTTGAAAAGGGAATATGTGAATAATGGGGGAAAAACATGGGCTTTGTGGTCATGTATATAAGATGAAACTTGAATTAAGTCTGACTTAGGTAGTCTTTGAGGTACTCTAGTCAGTTGTATACTAGTAAGACCAATAGGAAGATTCTTGTACCTAGGATTCCTCACATATAATAAATTGTAAAAGCTCTGATTATACGGCAGGCATTTTAATTCAAGCATGCAGAAGTAAGCCTGACATACATTCTGCTGTGAAAGATATCACTGCTTGGTTTTTGTAGTAATATGCTCTTCCATTAAAGTCCATGATTCTGCAGTTTAGCATGGGTGAACTAAATTGTGACATCACGGGTAGACCAAGGATCAGGCAAACCACCCATGATCCTAGAGTCTCGAGGAGAGCTGGTGTACATTCTGCAAACCTTTAAACAGACTTCAGCCTCTCTCAAGAGTCTTTTCAAACCATCCCGGTATACTCCTCTTGTCTTTTTCTAGTACCTTGAACTCCCTTTGTAGCCCAAATAGATTTCAAAGTTCCATTACCTGGATTTCTAGGTATGTACCAACAGGCCGGCCTGCCTGACTGCTTGATTGCTTTCCTTCCTTCCTTCCTTTTTTTTTTCCCTTTTTTAGATTTTTAAGTCACAGGTAGCCCAGGCTGACCTCTGTGTAACTCAGTATTGTAGTAAAGGATGACCTTGAATTCCTGGCCCTCCTGCCCTCACCTCCAAGTACTGGATTCCAGTGTGTGCTATACTGGGCTCTCTAGTCTGTTTTTAATAACCACATTTCAAGAGTATTCGCTAAAATGTTAAGCTGCCAACTTAAAGCATTTTCTCTCTTTTACAGACTAATCTGTCGCTCCATGCTAGATTCACCATACTAAGGAATCTAAGAGATGCCAGAATGAACAGAATGTGAAGACCTGAAGAATAAACTGCCTTTTCCTGTCAGGTGTTGGCTGCTAGCTAATTGCATAGAACCACACTTGAGACCGTACTACATATATTCATATAATGTTGGATATTTGACTGTTCTTGTTAATGTACTTTCTTAGGTAGGTTTAGATGTCAGGATTCTGTTCATACAAAGCAATTTGAAGAAAAGTGTTTAGCACTGTTTGCATAAAAGAAAATGGAGATGAGCAAGAAGAAAGCTGGTTTCAATGGGGTTATTTTAAGAAATCGGCTTTTTTCAGAAATACATGGGTTTTTTTTCAATGTTAGACAAACTGTGTGTGATTTACTGTAACCCTTAAGGTCTGGAACCCATACAAGTGATAAGAAGGTTTTATGCACAAAACCAATTCATGTGAGTGACTTTAACTGTATGAGGATAACAATTATAAGTGTTTATACTTTTACACTTTATAGATGTTTGTACTGTAACATGAAAAGCAACTTAATTTTTTTTTACTTTTGTCAGAACTCTAAATGTAACTTTTTTATTGTTGGTTTTGAAAACACATGGAAGATAATAAAGAATACTGAGCATTGTTATATGTTTGTTTGTTTGCTTGCTTATTTCAGTGCTAGGACTAAAGTGCAGGCAGGATTTTGGGGCGGTGACAGCAATTCTACCATCAAACCTAACCAAATCTGAGAACTGGCTCCTACAAATGGTCATCTAACTTTCTTCACATGTATACACACTCTCACATGCGCACGCACGCGCGCACACACACACAGACACACACTAAAGAAAATGTAAGTTTAAAAGAACCAGGGCCTTAAGCATGATAGGTTAGTGCTTTACTATTGTGCCATCTCCCCAGCTCAAATAACATCTAAATATAAATGTCATGCCTTTCCTGACCATTAATACTTGGAGTAAGTAATAGTAATCTTGATATAGATAAATCATCAAAATATGATTTGGACCTCAGTCCCCAGTTGCACATTCCAAATAGGGATACTGTAATTATGTTATTTTTCTTTTAAAGGCTTGTATGATAGTTAAGCTCAGTTATTAACTTGAAGAGATCTAGAATCAGTCAATTGGGAGAAGCTCTCTGTTATGCTTCTGGGGGATGGTCTTGGTTACATCCATTAAGGTAGGAAGACCCACCCTCTGTGGGTAGCACCATTCCCTGGGCTGTGATTTTACTGTGTGAAAAGGGGAAAGTGAGTAAATACAAGCTTTCATACCTGTCCTAAGTTCCTGTTGCTGTAATTTCATCACCCTGGTAGTCTGTAAACTTAAGAGTGAACTAAATACCCCTTTCTTTCTTCCCTAAGTTGCTTTTCCGTGGGTATTTTAGCACAGTGACATGAAATGTAAATAAGGAGCCAGTACTTTTAAGAATAACAAGGCAAGTCTTGTCCTCACATTGAGTAGTTTCTATGTGGACAATTAGATACAGTGTGGCAATACAAGAAAAATTTAACTCTGTACTTTACTGTTTCCCTAACCAAATTTAACAGTAATGGCTCACAGTTATTTATATTATTGGGCTGAAAAAAAATGAGGTGATCATTCATTTGATTTAACATCTAAAACATTGGCTATAAGTTTATTGCAAAGACCTAATCCTTACTACAAAAATAATGTGCAGAAACGAGGCTGGCCTCAAATGTATGCTCATTCTGCCTCAGCCTCCCAGATCCAAGGATTGTAGATGTGCCCTGCCCTGCCCTGCCCTGCCCTGCCCTGCCCTGCCCTGCCCTGCCCTGCCCTGCCCTGCCCTGCCCTGCCCTGTCCTAATATCATTTGTATGGCAAATTACTTTGACAGAAAATGTTTATTCTCCCTTTTCAATAATTTTGAATTGTGAGAGATTTGTATATATTTTCATTTTTTGAGACAGGGTCTCATGTATCCCAGGCTGGCCTCCTGCTTGCTTAGGACACCAAGGATAACTTTGAGCTTCTGGGGCTTTCCTGCCTCCATCTTCCAAGTGCTGGGGTTATAGTTGCCTACAGTTTTGTGCATGCTAGCTAAGTATTCTACCAAATGAGCTGCATCTTCAGCCCAAGAATATTTCTTCTGGTACAAAATTAATACATGGTCATTGGAGAAATTTGAAAATGCATAAAATGCAAAAATACACATACACACTTATAGCAATTAGAATGTTGAACCTCATGATAGAAAAAGCACAGTGGTGTTCCTATTTTAAAAATCTTCAAGTAAAATCTTCTGCACAGTGCTGAAAAGGCTGTGGGGAGAGCAGTAAACCCAAGAGATTCTTGTAGTGCGACCTGCTGGCAAACTTCACTTAGCAATATGTTCCTAAGAGTTGAAAAATGGTATTCTGGAGGGGCACTCACAATACCCAAGATACAACTCAGAGACCACATGAAGCTCATGAAGAAGACCAAAGTGTGAGTGCTTTGGTCCTTCTTAGAAGGAGTAACAAAATACTTATGGGAGCAAATATGGAGACAAAGTGTGGGACAAAAACTGAAGGAGGGGCCGTCTGGAGACCATTTCACCTGGGTATCCATCCCATGTGCAGTCACTGAAGGTAGGCACTGATGTGGATGTCAGGAAGTGCATGCTGACAGGAGCGTGATAGAGCTGTGTTCTTAGAGGTCTGCCAGAGTCTGACATATTTAGAGGCAGATGCTCACAGCTAACCATTGAACTGATCATGGGGTTCCAATGGAAGAGTTAGAAGGAGCTGAAAGGGTTTGTGGCCCCATGAGGAGAGCAACAATACCAACCAACAAGAGCTCCCAGGGTCTAAACCACCGGCCTGGGAGCACATAGGGAGGGACCCATGGCTCCAGCTGTATATGTATGGGAGGATGGTCTTGTCGGGCATAGGTGGGTCCTTGGTCCAGTGAAGGCTGGATGCCCCAGTGTGGGGGAAATCGTGGGTATGGAGGTGGGAGTTGGGGGGTGGGTGGGAGAACATCCTCATAGAAGCAGGAGGAGGGGGGATGGGATAGGGGTTCCTGGGGGGGGGATGGGGTAAGGGGATCACATCTGAAATGTAAATAAAATATCCAACAAAAAGTAGAGTATTTGGAGGGAGTAAATTAAAATAAATTATAATACCAAAAAAAAGTTGAAAAATGTTCTCACTCCCTGTGACTAATTGAAATTTCTACACTAAATGAAAGTGGCAAAAGAAACAAGCTACCTTTACGAAGATGTTTCTGTCAATATTAATGAGTAACTTAATAAATTAAAAACTCACTGGACCATAGTAAGAAAGCTACCAAAAAGCAATATATAAATCATAGCAATCCGACATCTCTATTGCTCCTTGTTCTAATTTGTTTTATGATGTTGTGATTAATATATAACTAATAGCAAATTGGGGAGGAAAGGAATCATTTAGCTTATAATACGTCCAGCCTACAATTCTTCATTAGAAGAAGTTGGGGCTGGGATATAGTTAGAAAATATATCAGAAAATGGAGGAATGCTGCTTACTGGCTCACCTAGCTTTCTGAAATACTCTCGCTCTCTCTACCCAGGGATAGGACTATGGGCTGAGCCCTCCCACATCAATTCTCAATAAAGACAGTATCTCACAGCCATGACCAAAAAGCAGTCTGGTTGGCAGAATTATTCAATTGAGGTTCCATCTTCCCAGGTTGTGTCAAGTTGACAAATTGGAAGAAGGTGTGTGTGTGTGTGTGTGTGTGTGTGTGTGTGTGTAAGTGTGAATGTGTGTGCAAGTGTAAATGTATGTGTGTATGCATGTGTGTGCATGTGCAAGTGTGAATGTGTGAGTGTGTGCATGCGTGTGTGAGTTTTAAAGAGGTTAGTGACAGAATAATAAATGTAAACTGTGTTTCTTCATTTCAAAGAGAGTTTGAAGCCACACTACTCTGATTAGCCTCAGGTCTGAAAAGAGTTGTCACCTCTTTAATTATAAATATCCCAAGTCATTTGCTCTGTTAGGGATTGAAAATAAAGGAGTAAAACAAAACAGTTTTAGGAAATTGTTTTGAAACAGCACTTTACAAAGGCCAAACTGGCCTCAACATTGCTATTGAGCTAGATTTGAATTGTAGATCTGCTTCTACCTCCAAGATAGGGTTATGGGTGTATGCAAATGTTCCTGGTTAAACAAAATAGATTTTTTTAAATCTATCACCATGAGGCTTACATTCAAAGATATTGATTACCTGTAATTCAGGTATACATTTGCTTCCCAGGGAGTAAGTGACAATGTAGGTAGTTATTTTTAATTGCCAAAGTAGATGATGGACCATCTAGAGAGTACAGGCCAGAGATGCTACCAAAACATGCTCGAATGTACAGGAGAATCTTTCATGACAAAGAATTATCTGTGCCAAAAATGTTGATAGCGCCTCCTTATTCAAGAAGAACAAGAAAAAGAAATAAAATGCAGAGTTTGGCATCCATGCATGTATCTTACATTTAGAGAGGGCCTTTTGTAAATAATAGAAACTATTCTTCATGTGCCTTCTAAATTATGAAAAATAGAAATAAGGTATTTTTCTCTATTAATACTGATAATTGACTAATGCATGAAGTCCTTCAGACATTCTCCTGCAAGATGCAAAGGTTTCAAACTGAAGTTTGTTTTTAGACTTTTAAAAATGTTAAAACTGTTCTATTTGCGTGTGTGTGTGTGTGTGTGTGTGTGTGTGTGTGTGTGTGTGTATGATTGCACCTTCTCAAGAGTGTGAATGCCATTGGGACTCACATGTGGAGATCAAAAGACAAGTTGGAGGATCCAGTCAATCTCCTTCCACCTTTGCTTGGGATCTGGAGATTTGACTTCAAGTCTCCAGGTTTGCATGGCAAATTCTTTAAGCCCCAAGCCATCTCACTGGCTCCATCTCACTGTTAAAAAATGATGTTGTCATGCTTTTGTGTGCTGTGTATGGGTATGAGTGAGGGTGCATGGGCATACCTGGCTCAGGTTCTCCCCTCCCACTGTAGCTACAAATTTGCTGTGTA